CTACCAGATTAATATTGGAATCACTAAGATCTTCCAATCTATCTTCAATTCCCGAGACATAATCCGATAGGCAATTAAAAGCCACCAGAATATCGCCTCTAATTTCCTGGTTCCGGGTCTGAACTGAATTCATAAGTTCTTCTGACAATTCTTTATGAGCAGCAGATATCTCTTCCTTAATTTTAATTTCCATCGCAGCTGCATGATTTTTTAAAGCCTCGGCTAATTCTTTTTGCAAAATTTGTTGGGTCAGGGGCTCCCCTACAGGAGTAGGGGGGAGTAGTGATTGTAATTTAGTGCCAGGAGCAGGTTAACTTCCTGTGCTTTTCTACACATTGGGGGGTGGGGGGCTTTTGCTGCTTAGAAGCCATTCCAGGTTTAATCTTCTCTACCCAATTAGTAAATCCAGGCAAGCCGCTTATCCAGCAATTACTATTTAGTTTATTAATAAATCACTTTTGGATCTTTAAATGTTCTGAGCTCTGTAAAAATGTCATAAAAGCCTGACCCCTCCTACAAAGCTGTTCAGCTCCATTTTATGTATATTTCTAGCAAGTAAATTGTTGGAAGGAATTCTTTTTAAAAAATGGAGTTAAAGATTTATACATACAATTAGGAGTTTACGAGTATTAGTTCTGCCCACTTTGAAATCAGTAATAAACCAGTCTTTGTGCTGAGGGTGGGACAATGCCTTTGTTCTGCAAAAAAAAGCAGAAGAGATTCTTGGCATGGAGAAATACTATGCTGCCGGATGGCTCCCACTTCCCATCCCAGATTTATGTTCTGGGTGGTTAGTTGGAGCACTGCCCAAACATAGTTTGCTCGCCTTCTTCTTTGCCCAAAGAAGAGGTAATCAAACTGCCAAAGAGTTAATGGATACTGTTTAGACAGTTTAACGCAGGCAAGATTCCAGAGCTGTTAAAAACAACAACTCCCTCAGGCCCTGCCCAACCAGAAGCCTGAAATTTGTCAGTGATTTTGAAGAGATAAAAACATTTGTGTGAGTTTCTGATACAGGAGCAAAGCTCAGTGAAATTATCCCTCATTTAGTATTAACTGAAAATTGGACGTATTAAGAAGCCATGATTCTCTTTAAATTGGCAGATTGGGATTTAAAGATCAATTGGTTTGATTCATGCTTTTAAACAATTAAGAATTCATTTGGAAAAAAGACCCACACAGAGATATACACACAGAGATATACCACAAGCTAACAAATCATACCTATATTTTCCATAGCCAGTTAGAAATTAATTGATTAGTTTTCATTATAGCAACAAAGATGAGTGAATTTAAGATTGCAGCCTGGATTTACAGGAAAAAAAGATTCAATTTATTTCTTTTTTTAAAAAAAGAACAGGTTTTTACTTCC